GGAAGAGCGCAATGATGGTGCCAACTTGGGCCAGTGAAGCAACGTCCTCCACAACTAGACTGAGGAACAAAACGACAGCAACTTGTCTGTTCCCCTTCTCCCAATTCCCCAGCACTGTTCCCATCTCCCCAATTCCCCAATAAAAAATCTTAAAAAAAAAAAAAAAAGAAATCTTGCCATTTGTGACAATATGAATGGAACCTCAAGGGCATTATGCTAAGTAAAATAAGTCAGAGAAAAACAAATATGATATGATCTCATATGTGGAATCTAAAAACAAAAACCCAAAAAACCAAGTTCATAGATACAGAGAACAGATTAGTGGTTGCCAGAGATGGGGTGAGGGGAGGGTATGGGAGAAATGGGTGAAGGGGGTTGATAATAAACAATTTTTAAAAAGATTTTTAAAAAGGAATCCCAAGAGAGCTTCTTATAAACACAAAACGGATTCCTAGGAGCGGCCAAGTTGGACTTTCTGAATCAGATTATCCAGGAGTGGGGCCTGGGACTCATCAACAAACTCCTCAGGGGATTCTCATGAATAGCAGCCAGGTCTAATCGCTCTACTTTTCCTGGGGACACTGAGGACCAAAGAGGTCTTCAGCCAGTCATCAACATAACCAACAACAGAAATTAGATCTTTGGACTACCAGTTAGATGTTCTCTCCACACCAAGACCAGGAACCTATAGTACCCAAAAGAATTGCTCATCTTTTTTTTGTTTTAATTTTCTTAAAATCAAAGTTACTAATGCACACAATTTTAAAAGTCAAATACAGGTAGTTTTACAAGGTTTATATGAAAAAACACAGCTCCTTGTCCATGCTCCTCCATTGGCCCCTCCCCATAGGCAACCATTTAAAAAAAAATTTTTTTTTTAAGACTTTATTGGGGAATTGGGGAAGGGGACAGACAAATTGATGTCCTTTTGTTCTTCAGTATAGTTGTGGAGGACGTCACTTCACTGGCCCATGTTGGTGTTATCATTGCGCTCTTCCTGGGTGAGGCAGATTGGTTGCCGGCCACTGGACGGCTGCTCACAGCGGCTCTTGGCTGCTCACAGCGGCTCTTGGCTGCTCACGCCGGCTGCCAACCGTGAGCTGCCAGCCCCTCACGGCAGCCCACTGCAGCCCCACTGCAGCCTACGCTGTCGCTGTTGACTCACAGCAGTCCAGCTCTAGGTCGAGCTGTTGTTCACCATCTTAGCTGTAGAGGGCGCAGCATCACTGGCCCTCATGTGGGATCCGAACTGGGGCCCTGCTGCTCAGAGCTGGCGCTCCCAACCCAACTCTTATCCAACACATCACTTAGCTGGCCCCATTTTCAAAACTCTTTTAGCTGATTTATTTGTTACTGAAAGAAACCAGAATTTGACCCCAAAATGTGCCTCTTTGACATAAAAATGATTTTGAGCTGAATGAAGTCAGTTAAGAAGCAGCAAATGCAAGAAAAGCTCTCTCTACCCTTCCCCCGTCTCTGTCTAAAGAAGGATATAAATTCTCCTTTCCTGGAGATAGGTTCTTATTCTCCTAGAGATGCGCCAGATGAATCTGCAAACACACCTTACTCCATTAGTTTCCTCCCATATATTGGGTTGTTGGAAAAGTCATGACACATTTTTGAAACGAAAAATAGAAAAAATACGTCATGACTTTTCCAACAACCCAATATTTACCTTCCAACAGTATGCCATCCTTAGAAGCCTAAAACCGATTCCCTTTACTCTGTTATTTCTCTCCAAATGTGTTCTTTGTTGAAACTGCTACATAAGCCAGAATTCTAAACTGCTGCTTTGAGTTAATTTTCATTGAGGTTTCTTCCACATGATAGGTGCTGCATGCATTAACAAACTGTTTTTCTCTTGTTAATCGGTCCAGCTGAAAACCTAAGATGGGCCAAGTTATGCCTCCCCTATAGTATTTGCTCTCACCTGTGGCATTATTAGCATTTTTACAATGAGGATGCATCGTAATTAAATGTAATTACGTAAATAAATGTAATGAGGATGCACATATTCTTATGTGGTCTACATTTAGAATGGATTGCCAGGTCTAGCGCAGGTTTGGGATGCCTGGGCATTGCAGAGTGCCCCAGTGGTCACTGGGCACAGGCCACCAGCTCCTCCAGGGCTTGTTCTCGGCAATTGCCATGGACCAGCAGCACCTCCTTGATCCGGTCCTGCTGGAAGCCCATGTCGCTGAACTGTTCCCAGAGGCGCAGGTATTCCCCTGCCTGAGAAAGCGGAGGCAGAGAGGGCGCTGGGAACTCTGGGAGGCCTGGCCTCCAACCTGGGGAGCCCCCTGCCTGGTGCTGTCTGTATCTACTTCCAGAAAGCTGTGGCCCCCTCAGGCCAGGGGACCCTGATCCTGGGCAGCACCTACATTTTCCCTGTACTTCTGGGGTGACATGGGCTTAGACCTCCCTTTTTGTACCAAGGAAGGAGGCCCCAGCCTGGCCACTGGCTCAGTCCTGGTTTTTCTCCCCTCCTCCAGCTCACTCCTGACTGTATGTGCTTGGGGGCTGGGGCAGGAAGAAGGAGGCCAAATACTGGTGTCCCGAGGATACACAGCCTGGGGTCTCTGGCCAGGCCCCAAACCTTGCCAAGGTATCACATACCATGGCCTCTACTTTCCTTCCTCCTCTGGCCCCAGTGCTTGAAGCTTTCCTGCTTCTCCTCCCTCCCTCCTTCTCTGTATGTCTCCCACCCTCTGTCACTCCTTCAGCCTCTGTGAAGAGCTGCTCAGCGAGCCTGGACCAGCGGCTGATTGTGGACAGGTCATATTCATAGGGCACCCAGAATGTAATGCTGGGCCCAGAGCTGCCCATATTCTGGGTTCCAGGTAGGTGGCAAACTCCTTGAGCTAAGTTCAAGCAACTCTGTGCTGCCTGTGGCTCCTGTCTGGGTTTCTAACAAAGAGTCGGCATTCAGTAACACTTGTTATATTGATTCAGCTAAATAGCACGAAAGCCTTGCCTCGGGTTTCCCTCCCCACCTTTTCCCCTCGCCTTCCAGGCTTCATCGCCCTTGGCTGTCTCCTTCTCCTTATGGCACCCAGCCTGGCTCTGGCACTGTGTGCCCCTGCATGCCAGGCTATTTTGTGTACCCCCATCCGCCCCTCCCCTGCGGCTCAGGTAGGTGGCCTGCTGACCTGGCTCTCAGAGAACTGGAACATCTCCATGGCCTCCTCCACCAGGCCCTCCTCGTAGCCCTGCCGCAGCAGCCGGTCACAGGCGCTAAGGTAGCTGAGAAACTGGGCAGAAAAGGGGCAAGGAGGGAGGGTGGTAAGAGGAGGGGCAGGGGCAGCAGATGGGGTAGAGTAGGCATCTGAGGACCTCATTAAGGCCTGAGCTCGGGCCAGGCTGACTAGGCAACCCCTGGCACACAACATGGCCCCAGAAAGCCCGTAAGCCAATAGAAGAGGGACAGAAGCCTCCTTTAGGGACCTTCAGACAGGTGGACAGCAAATCCTAAACAACTGGCCCAAACTGAGGTCTGAAATCCAGGAAAAGGGCTGTCAGGGTGAGCTAAGGTGTTCCCAGAACCTAAGTGGGGAGTGGGACAGGCCTGGAACATAGGTGTCTCACCCACCACCCACCCCAGCCTGCTCATCCTCCCTAGGGAGCACCCACCTGTGTGAAGGTGACTCCTTACCCATCCACACCTGTGCACCCCACCCCACCTGCAGACATATACAAGGTCGGACAATTAAGTTTGCAAACTTGTTGCAATGATGTTGCTAACCTTTTTTGATATCAGAGGGATTATTCATTATGATTTTGTACCAATTGGACAAACAGTTAACCAAGTTTACTATTTGGAAGTGCTGAAAAGGCTGCAAGAAAAAGTCAGATGACCTGAACTGTTCACCAACAATTCATGGCTCTTGCATCACGACAATGCACCAGCTCACACGGCACTGTCTGTGAAGGAGTTTTTAGCCAATAAACAAATAACTGTATTGGAACACCCTCCCTACTCACCTGATCTGCCCCCCAATGACTTCTTTTTTTACTCGAAGATAAAAGAAATATTGAAAGGAAGACATTTTGATGATATTCAGGACATCAAGGGTAATACGACGACAGCTCTGATGGCCATTCCAGAAAAAGAGTTCCAACATTGCTTTGAAGGGTGGACTAGGCACTGGTGTTGATGCATAACTTCCCAAAGGGGAGTACTTTGAAGGTGACCATAGTGATATTCAACAATGAGGTGTGTAGCACTTTTTCTAGGATGAGTTCGCGAACTTAATTGTCTGATCTCGTATATCTCTGCTACCCAGGGCTGCATAAGCCCCCACTATGCTACAGTTCTGCACCGGTGCTGGAAAGGGGAGGGGACAGAGGAGGATCCCACAGGGCTGAAAACCTGTGCAGGTCACTTCCTGCTTAGTCATTAGGGGCTGCTTTTACCCTCAGGATGAAGTGCTGCCTCCCAACCAAGACTCAAAGGTCTGCTCCTGCCCGTCAGTCATCTCAACTCCTCCCCGAACCCCTTAGGTCTCTGCATATCTGGCTGCCTTGCCAAGGCCAGCCTCACTCCTCTTCCCTGGGGACCCTCTCTGCCTTGTTTTCAATGTGTCATGCCTGGTGCTTTCCCTATCATAGTATATACAGTTTTGTAACTGCTCCACTGTCTTTCTCATCTCTCTCATCCACTAACTTTTTGCTCCATGAGGGAAGGGTTGTGCCAGTCTTGGTCACTACTGTTTCCTCAGCACCCAGCATGGCAGGCAGAAGGGGCTCAATAAATACATGTTGTGTTTATAAAGTGGATTAAGAGCCACCTTCAAGAAGCTCACAGCTCAGTGGGGGAGATAAACCAGATATGGGAAATCATGGGTGCCAGGCAAATCAAAGGAGGATTTATAGGGAGTCGGTGCCAAATAAAGGCTTCAGACCATAAGAATTATGGGTATAAGTGGAGAAGAAACAGGTTGGTTTCTGCAGACTGTCAGAGCTGGGCAGAAAGCACGGATACTATAGACTAATGGTTTTCAAACTGTTTTAGCTTCTAAACTGTCCAAGCACCTGCCCTAGGACACCTAGACCTTGTTGTGAGCACATTTGGAAAACCAACCAGCCAAGCCCTCCTTGCACAGTTAAGGAAACTGAGGTCCTGGCAGGGTGGGCAGCCCCACTTAGGAGACTCCGATGGACCTTGTAGTCTCCAGAGCTGTGGGGTTGGCTGACAATGTTATTGGGTCTACAAAGTTCGAATTCTCCATCTACCCACTCCTGCTTCTGTCCACTCCCTTCTCCAGGAGTTGATCCCAAGGGCCTCCTCCTTAATAACAATCCTGCATGCCAAACTCCATCTGAGTCTGCTTCCTGGGGAGTCCAATCTGCAACAGTGGTTTTTATGTACCTTGGTTTTCAGCATAGCTCCTAACTGCATCTAAACACCCAGGAAGTGTCCAATAAAACTGTTGACTAGATGGATGGATGGGTGGATAGAAAAAGAGAGAAGTGGATATGGGTATGGGTAAACCATTTGTTGAAGGAAGTGGTTAGAGCTGTGCCATCCAATATGGTAGCCAATAGCCATATGTGGCTATTTTAATTTAAATTTAAATTATAATTGAATAAAATTCTCAGTCACACTAGCCACATTTCAAGTAACCATATATGGCTAGTGGATATTGTATTGAACAACACAGGTATAAAACACCTCTCTCACTGCAGAAAGTTCTATTGGGCAGCTCTGGAGAGATCCTTGGCTGCCCAAAGCTCCAGCCCCCTGTATTTGTGGCAAAGACTAGGATAGGAGTAGAATATCGAGACTCGCCAAGTGGGCCTGAGGATTCCTGATAAATTGCTATGGAGAAGGTAGCATTAGGGTCTAGAAACTTGCTCACAACCCCCAATAATTAATGCCAGGCTGAGATTCTGCCTCTGAAGAGAAAGAAACAAATTTCTGCAAATTAGAGATAAAACCACGTGGCCACTCACCTGGCTCTAGCTCCACAGCCCCCCAGCTCTGGAAGGTCACTCACCTGGCTCAGGCTCTGCCGCCCTGTCTTCTGTAGAGCCATGATGGCCCTATGCATGGGATACCCCAGGGCAACCACAAGCCCAATGAGGTCTTGCTCCTCTTGGCTCAGGGCAGGTAGCAGGTCAGCAGAATCAGGGTATAATCTGTGGGTGATGAGAGGCTGGGGCACCCGCCCAAGAGGTGGCAGGCAGGTATATGGGCTGAAGGACTGGAAAACACACAAGCAGATGTGTCATTTACCACTGAAGACAAGACCTGGCTGGGAAGGACATTTTTAAAGGTACCTTTGCATGCCACCTTCTATACAGAGTGTAGGGGCTAATACTGTGGAGGGTTTGGAGTCCTGAAGACCTGGGTTCAAACCTCAGCTCTCTACTGTTTACTCAATGTACTCATGTGTAAAACGGAGGAAATTATACTAGGTACCTCAAGGTTTGTTACAAGGCTTGAATGAGAATATGAGAAAAGTGATTAGCAAAGGGCCTGGCATACAGAAACTGCCAGAACATGATAATATTTCATTTATTGCTTAGAATAACCCTGCAAGAGAAATGTGATAGGTCCATCCTGTTATCCCATTTTACAGATATTGAAATCAAGGTTCAGAGAAGTTAATGACCTAGTAAGCAACACATATTTGGGACCTGAACCCTACTTAGAATCAAATCCAGTGTTCTTTACCCCATGCCTAAAGGGATCTTCCCAGCCAGATCCCCCTTCTTGAATTCGGATGGGCTGAGGTTTGGCAGGGCATGGAGCAAGGTAGAAACTGGGCACAGCTGTGGTGCTGGGGGGACTCACACAGACCCTGGGCTAAGGTGAGTGGCTTCAAGGCATTTCAGTCGGTCTGGCCGGCATCACCCCTAACTCTTCCCCCATGAAGAAGCACCTATCTGCCAGCTCTGAACTCATCACCTTGTCCCCTCCTCCCTAAGGAAAGCCTAGCTGCTGCCCTGGCTCCTGGGTCAGCGTGTGTGTGTGTGTGTGTGTGTGTGTGTGTGTGTGTGTGTGTGTGACATATGAACTCCCCACCCATCCCCATCTGCTCAGGGGTTTCTCTGCCATGCCTCACCCTTGGGTCTGCCCTTTACCCCCAGAATGTAAAACATCCAAATCTTAGGATCTGAGTCCATTCTTGTGACCTTGAAAAAGATTCTTAGCTGCCCTCTGCCTCAATTTCCTCCTCTACAGAACATCTGCCCCAATCCTCCCCAGCCCACCCCTCCAAGGTTGTTGCTACAGTTAAATTTAAAGTAGACCAGAGAGGAGCCATCCTGGCATCAACATCCCTTGATGTGGGCATGGCTGGTCCAGTTCACAGAGCTTCTTCTCTGTTTGTTCCTGGGGGAGGGGTTGCTGGGCCACTTTACAGGCAGAGAAGGGATGGTTCGGAGCACTTCAGTGACTTGCCTAAGGTCACACACCAGTGAATGGGAAAGCTGGACCTCAGGTCTCTTTTGGATTTAATTTCATGTTGGCCTTATTCGTTTGCATCTCCTAGCCTGACTGTGGGGCTGCTGGGGGGCAGAGAGCTGTGCCCAATTGCTACCTCCTGCTATCAGTCCTGACCTAACCCATCTGCTCTGGATCCAAGTTTTGTGGAGTTTGAGACTTATACAGTTTGGACCTCTTAAAGCAAAAATACACAATTATGAATATAAAATTAGGTACAAGGCCTTGGAAGGAACAAAGTGAGGGGCCTGAGGCTTAAGCTTCCTTGGTTTCATGGTCAGTTCACTTCTGCTCTGGGTTCTTCTAGGAGCATGTCCTCTGTCCTGAAGTCTTCCCAGACTCCAGCCACCCTCACCTCTCAACACCTGATCCCTCCCACTATACAGTGCTGCCTTGTCCCACATCTTCTTGGCCAACTCTGTCCTGTGGTTTTGACCTTGTCTCTTCCAACCCAGTATCCGGCAGGAATTAACGTACTGTGACTACTCTTTGATAGAGCCTCCAGCTCACGCATTCTACAGCAAGCCTTGCCCACTAGGAAGCCCGAAGTTTGAGTCATATTCATTAATTCAACAGACATTCACTGAGCACCCCCTATGGGCCAAGTCTGCTTCTGGGTGCTCTGGAAACAAATGAATGCGATCCAATCCCTGCCCTAAAAGAACTCATATTCCACTGGAGGAGACAGGCAGGTACCGAATAATTACAATCATGCGACTTGTGCCCTAACAGAGGCAAAGCAGGCACAATGGGAAACAGAGGGAATGGGGGCCCTCGCAGCAGGGAATATTCCGGCAAACGGTCACAGTTAGACTAGCGTGGTTCAGAGCCAGGTGAGAGCAGGTAAAGGTAGGGAGGAGGAATGCGAAGAGGAGGGGACTGAGGCTGGGGATCCAGGCTATGGGGACCTCAATGCTGAGTTGCAGCCTTGGCTGAGCGGGCAGGTTCCTCACCGCGACCGTGGGCTTGTCGCTCCGCAGCAGGGGCATGGCACCCGCTGTGGAGGGCCGCGGGGGTGGCGCGGGTGTGCTGGGCAGTGGGGGCGTGGGGCCCACGGACAGCGCCGAGCTGGGGCAGAGGCTCAGCGCCCTGTGACGGATGCGGTGCAGGAGGGCGCGTGGTCGCGCGGCCATCCTGCCTTCTGAGAGTCGCCGCCGCGCCCCCGCCAGTTCTGACCTCACTCCGCGCAGCACGTCCAGCGAGCACAGGTAATGGCCTTGGCTGGGGGTCCCTGGGGTGCTGGGCTGGGGGTTGCAAGGACCCGGGTTTTCCTTGCTAGCAGAGGAGGCTTCTTCCTCTTTCTCCTCCTCTTCCTCAGGCAGCTGCTGGGGTCCGGCCTCAGGGCCTTTGGCTAAGGCAGGTGCAGGCAGCAGCCCGCGTTCAGGGCTGACCAGCAAGAGCCAGGCTGGAGGCGCTGACGCTGTCCCCGGGACATCACATTGGAACTGGCAAGTCTCCCGGAGGACAGCCTCCACCCAGAAGAGAGTCCTCCTCTCCAGGCTGAAGTCGTGCTGCTGAGAGAAGGCAACGTGAGGTTTGGCCAAACAAACCAGGGCCCGGGGCACACCCCTACCCCTGGTCTTCCCGGACCCTGCTCGACCAAAGACTTGCCAGACCTGCACAGCTTTCGATTCTGAGCCCCAAGCAGCCATTACAGCCCACCCTCACCCTCGGTTTTATCTAACACTGGGGTCAATGAATATCAATAAACATTTAATGTCAAACTGCATGAAGGATAAAGTGAGGAATAGGTTAACAGAATGAAATGTAGTGAAACCTAGTATGAAGGTCCCTTTGCCATTCAGTATGTAATTGAATGATAGCGGCTTAAAAACTTTCTCCAATAAAATTTGTTCTTACCAAAGAAGCTTTCACTTGAGCCCAGCACCATCTGCCAGGGAGCAGTTAGCCTTGGAGGCCTGCCCAGGTATGTACACCTCCCTAGGGAGTAATACCTGCCCCCATCCCCTTTGCTGCCATCTGAGGTTACTTTGGGACCCAGGAAAGGTAAAATACACGAATCTTTGTTGAACCCTACTTAGTAGGTTCTAGTGTTATTCCTATTTCCAGAATATGAAAACAAAGCTCAGAAAATGCAGTTTGCTAGAGGTCAGATTGGTGGTGAGTGACAGAGCTGGGGTTCCTCTGTCCATCTGACTGTGGTGTTCCCTCTACTACATATCCGGCCACCAAAAAAGCAATCTGGGGCCCACATAAGTAATCTAACTTGAGAGTTTATAAATGAGGCAAAAATAAAACATTCCTGTTGCCTACCTTTAAAATTAAGAACCAGAAATATAAAATGTCATTAAAAATATTTAAAGGCAATTTCAATGCTCTATGATGGTCAATTAAGGAAGAAAGAGGCTGGGGGAAGTGGTGTGTGTGAGGGAAAGGGGAGACAGACAGACAGACACAGACACATTAGATCACAGGCACTGCCCCCTCCCACCTCTGACATGACCCTACACTGAGGAGAGGAGCATACTTTAGCTGTTCCAGTGTGGCTCCCTGACTGAGGTCAAAGACCACGTCTTATTCCTCTCTGTATCCTCAGGGCCCAGGGCAGACCTGGCACAGAGTGGACATTAGTAAGTGTGTGCAGAATAAATGGTTAGAGAAAGAGATTGGAGTAAAATAGGAGAGTTCTAAAAAACAGAGGACAAACTTCAGAACTGAAGATGAGAGACTTGCAGAGAAGAAACTAAGAGATAAAGAGATAGCAGGACTTAGGGGATAAAATGATACAAAGACCCAATAAAAATACCAACACTGGGCCGGCCGAGTGGCATGTTGGTTAAGAACTGGCTTGGGATGCCAGAGGGCCCCAGTTCGGATCCCACATATGAGGGCCAGTGACACTGCCCTCTACAGCTAAGATGCTGAACAACAGCTCAACCTGGAGCTGGGCTGCCGTGAGTGGCCGGGGATGGCAGGTGGGTTGCCATGGGCTACCGTGTGTAGCCAGCAGCCAGTGTGAGCGGCCAGCAGCCGCAGTGAGCGGCCGTCCAGAAGCCGGCGACTGATCTGCCTCACCCGGGAAGAGCGCAATGATGGTGCCAACTTGGGCCAGTGAAGCAACATCCTCCACAATTAGACTGAAGAACAAAAGGACAGCAACTTGTCTGTTCCCCTTCCCCCAATTCCCCAATAAAAATCTTAAAAACAAACAAACAAACAAACAAACAAAAACAACATTTGTGATTTATAGAACTCATCAAGAATTCTACAGTTCATATGAAAAACAAGTAAGGATAGCCAGAAAAACTCCCAAGACAAAAAGATAAATAAAGGGGGCTGGCGCTACCAGCTGTTTTATTATATTTTATTGTATTAAATATCAATAATTAAAACTATGGTACTGGCACAGATGAAGGTATGGAATAGAAAGTCCAGAAATAGACCTTAATATCTATGGGGCTTTAATAAATAATAAAGATGGTATCTCAAGCAATGGGAAAAAGAGGAATTAGTCAATAAATGGTGTGAGCTAGCTGGAAAAAAAAATTTGTATGCATCCCCACATTATATATACAAGGATAAATTCCAAAAGGGTGAAAGATTCAAATGTGTGATATAAAACTATAAAAGTATTAGGAGAAAATAGGACAGAAATCCTTTATAATCCAAGTGGAGAAAGCCTTTCTTACTCTGAATCAAAATCCAGAAGCTACAAAAGTGCATACAGTCACATGTGTAAAATCTGCATGACAAATACACCCTATAAGCAAGGTCAAGGACAGATGTCAAACTGGGGTGGGGTGGGGTGGGGGGACAGCACCACATCACAGACAAAGGGCTAAATTTAGTAACATAGGAAGTACCTAGAAATAAGTAAGAAAAAGACCAATAGCCCAACAGGAAAATGGACAAAAGATAATATGGACAGTCCACGGAAAAGGAAATACAGGTGGCTCTTAGACACAGGAAAAGCTGTTCAACCTCGCTCACGATAAGAGAAGGCAAAATAAAACTACACCGAGATACCATTCACCTATCCTATGGCAAAGACCCAAAGCCTCATGATACTCAGTTGGGAGTGTAGATGGTAAAGGCCTCTTGTGGGGTGCTGATTGAGATGTAAATCAGTATAACCCCTATGGAGTGCAATTTGGCAATATATTCAAACAAATTCAAAAGGGCATTTGCATATACTCATTTTTTGTAGCATTGTCTGTAATGGCAAAAGACTGGGAATAAGCTAAGTGTCCATCAAGAGGGGACTCTGTTGATAAAGTATGGCGTATTCATAAAATGCAATACTATACAGTGACAAACAAAACTGAGGAAGCTTTTTATGTACAGATACGGAAGATCTTAAAATATATTAAGTGAAAGAAATCAAGAGGAACAGTGTATATAAAATGCTATCTTCAGTGTTAAAAAAAGAAATAGCTATATTTGCTTGTTTATGCACACATAATAATCTCTAGAAGAATATATTTAAAATGAGTAACAGAGGTCACCAGCGATGGGGTGCAGGTGGAGAACATGGCAGGGTTGGCAAACTGCCTGGGGCCAAACGCCCCCGCCCCAGTTTTGTAAGTCAAATGTTATGGGAACACAGCCGCCCACTCTCTCCTTTCCTGAATGTCTATGGTCTTTCCCTACAACAGCAGAGTTGAGTAATTGCCAGAGTTTTTACTACCTGGCTCCTTACAAAAAAATGTCAGCCCCTGCTCTGTACCATTTTATAATATATATTTTTCATTTTAAACTGTGTGAATATATTTTCTCTTTTTAAAAAATGAAGTGAAGAAAAATTAACTCTAATTAAAGGGATACTATGAAACAACAAAACACAGACTTGCCGAGGCTTTAAGTATGTAAGGAAGAGCCCCTTGGTATATGTGCTGCCGAAGCGAGCACAGGAAGAGCCCCTTGGAAAAGAGCAGGGTAGAGGGGAGTCTGACAGACTTGTGTTAGAATCCTGGCTGTGTCACTAATAAGCCTGTGACCCTGGGGATCAGTCGGGTGAGAGCTTTGATTTCCTATGCCATGGACTAGGAACACCCAACTGCTAAAAGGATCATAAAAATGAGAGAAGAGTGAACGTATAAAGAGGACCTAGCACAGGCCTGGTGCATAGCGGGTGCTCAATAAATGGTAGCTCTTATTATTTTTCCCTTTAGGTCACTATAGCTTCATCTGGTAATCTAATCACCACATATAACATCATTGTAATGAGAAAATGGGAATACAGCTCAGTGAACTCGAAGGACTGATCAGGAGAGGCTGTAAATCATACTTGGAGTCTCGTGCTTCTCTATTTGTTAGTTTGGCCCAGCAGTAAAATAAATGGAGGCTCAGGAAGGGAAACAGGCTTAAGGGAGTGCAGGTGCCCATATTGAAAGCAGGAGACGGAGCCAAGGTCAGCACATTGGCTGGGACATTAGACATGGACTTGGCAGAAGGGTGCCCATTTCTGCTATTAGGAGAAGTAACCTTCAGAATAGCCTCTTTCCAGCTTGGCTTGAGCTGGGCAGGGAGGGAAAAAGGGTGATAATCCACCTCCACTGGAGCTTAGTAAAGCAAGTTCCTCTTTTGAACAACACAGGCCCTACTGCCAGAGTGACAGTCCACAACACAGCACAGGCTGCCTGGGGAGAGCGAAAGCTCCTGCCCCATAAAGCATGGGGCCCTGGACCCTGTGCTCTGGACTTGACAGAGCTTATTTCAGTTCTGGAAACTTCAGTCCTGAGGAGCCTCAGGGCTACTCCAGGGTCTGCAGATGAAGCAAACCTGCACTGAGCACCCTGCTCCTGTGCCCCCAGGCCACTCAGGTCCCTCTACTGGGCCCTCCCCAGGCCTCTCCTTCCTGGGCTGCGCTCTCAGCTCCCGACTTCCAGCAATCCATTTTTACCTTCAGGCAATACCTGTCCTGTGTCTCTCCTGTTTCAATCCGGCTCTTCGCTAATATAAAATGATCTGGGGTCAGGACCTGGGTTTTATCTTGTCACTAACTTTGGACAAATCATTTCCTTTCTGTGGGCCTCAGGTTCCTCATGTTCAACATGAGTGAGAGCTGAACTAGATCCTCAAACTTTTCTACAAAGCACCCCGCAGACAGCCGAGAACAAGCACACAAGAGTCTGAGGACTCAGTCCCAAGCGGCCCAACACCAGCTCCACTGTTTTTGCAATCTTGTTTCATTTTTGAAAAATTCATGTGAATTGTATATTCTACCCCATGATACATCTGTTATAATATAAATGCAACAGGTTTCCCTTAAATCTTCAAGTAAACTTGACCCTCCAGGAAGTTAAATAATCATGTTTATCCTGAGGTCATATGTGATATGACCACATACACTGGGTGCACATCCTGGTGTGTACGCCATGGGGCATGGGGTGCTTTAAAGGTGCCTCCAGGGAAGACGTGCTTTGGGCTGGGGAACAGCAATCCCTTCTAATGTGTTCCAGGTAACCGTCTACATTTTAACAGAGGATTGTGGAGCCAGTGCCCAAAGGAGTGATACTAATGGTGGAAGAATTTTAGACATGGCAGCAGGCTGATAGGGGAGAGAGCAACTGGAACAGCCTTGCAATGACTTTCAGTCACTTCATACAGGCAGCCTTCCAGTTATCTTAAGGCTAACATGAGACCCATTAAATAATCCCCATCACCAGGCAACCAGCCTTCTTCAAGAAACACCCTTTCCTCTTGTGTTATGTCTAAACTCCCTAGAATATACCAGAGGAGGCCTGGCTGCCCTTTTAAATCAAGGAACAAGGTGCCATAAGACAGCGTCAGAACCACAGACCCAGGGATTGGGAGACAGACAGAGATACAGGCAGACTGACAGACAGATACACTTACCATAGAACCCAGCAGAAGCTCCCTGCAGGCTGGGACACTGAGCTCTGGCCCAAGGAGGGGCTCCGGGCCTATCACAAAGCCCTTGGGTACCTTGAATGGGACACCATCCAGGGCATTCATTCTGTCAGAGGAGTGTGGGGTTGTCTGAGCAGGCTGGGGCAGGCTGTCTGGTGGCAGGGAGACAGCGTAGTCCTGAGGACCAGGCTCAGGCCCCAAATGGCCTCAGCACTCTCCTGTGTGGTGACTTAGCTGAGTCCCACACAGCCAGGAAGGAAAAGATGAAGTGGCCAGTGCTGCACGAGGGAGGAAATGAATAAAAGAGCATTTGAACTGACAGAAATTGACTATTTCATGTTGAAGTCTTACTCTAGACAATTTCCCAAAACACGATCTACAACTCAAGTTGTAAAGCATTGCATCAAAAGAGTTTTTACCTAGATGTTTAAGGAAGAAATATCGAATCACACAAACTCTTCCAGGAAAAAAGGGATACTTTCTAACTTGTTTTGATTTCAGCATCATCTTGATATCAAAACTGACAAGAAAATTAGAGGCTGATCTCTCATGAACATAAATGAAAAAAATTCTTAACAAAAATAATTATGGATAGAAAAACACAATACTACCAGGTTGAGTTTATTTCAGGAATGAGAGGTTGGCTTTCCAAAATTAATCAGTGGGAATAAAGATAAATATCAATAGAAAATGAAAATTATATAATTATCTGTTTCCATAGATGCAGAAAGAGTGCTTGATAAAATCAATACCTATTCATGATTTTAAGAAACAACAAACAAACTCTTTTAACAACTTAGGAATAGAAAAGAATTTCCTTAACCTACTAAAGAAGATCTCTAAAACAACTAAAGCAAACATCCCACTTAATGGTGAAATACTGAAAGGTATCCCCAAAATTGGAAAGGAGACAAGGATGTCACCGTCATCTCTTCTGTTCAACATTGTACTGGTGGTACTAGCCTCTGCAAGAAGAGAGGGGGGAAAAATAAAAGTTTAAGGATTGAAAAGAAAGAAATAAAACCACCATTATTTGTATATGACATAATTATGTCAAAAATCCAAAATAATCTAGGAATAAAACTTAGAATTAGCTAATTTAGTATATTGATACAAGGTCAATATACAAAAATCAATTATATCTCTATATGCAAGCAACAAACCATGTCCATGGATTGTAAAACTCACTATTTTAAAGGTATCAATTTTCCCTGAATTGATTTATAGATTCCAGGTATCAAAATTCCATCACGTTTTTTTGGTGTAAATTGGCAAACTAATTCTAAAATTTATGTGAAATGCAGAGTCAAGAAAAGCCAACACAATCTTGAAGAAGAAACAACATAGTCAGAAGATTTATTCTTTCAGATATCAAGACTAACGCGTACTTCAAAGTTACGTGAATTAAGATAGTTTGGTACTGACATGAGGACTTACAGAGACCAAAAGAACAGGAAAGAAAGTCCAGGAGCAAACCCACACATATATGGATCCTTGATTTATGACCCTACAGAGCAGTGGGAAAATGAAGGCCTTTTCTTTTAGCCGAGCCATGCTGCCACCTGTTGGCAGCTCAGTGGCTGCTCGGTTTGGGCCAGGACTCGAACCGCTGTTGCTCAGAGCTCAAACTCTTGAGCGAGCTCTTAACCAACTGAGCCACTTGGCCAGCCAAATGAAGGCCTTTTCAATAAATGGTTCTGGATCAACTGGATATCCACCTAGAAAAAAATCTTGACCTCTACCTCATATCATACAGAAAAATTCTAGGTAGACTGTAGATCTAAATGTAAAAGGTAAAAAGTAAGTGTGAAAGGCAAAAAGGTAAAGCCGGAAGATAAAATTGGAGAATATATTCATGGTGTTAGAATGGGTAAACATTTCTTTCTTTTTTTTTTAATTGGGGAATTGGGGGAGGGGAACAGCGTTGGGGAGTCAGGGAAGGGGAACAGACAAGTTGCTGTCCTTTTGTTCTTCAGTCTAGTTGTGGAGGACGTGGCTTCACTGGCCCATGTTGGTATTATCATTGTGCTCTTCCCAGGTGAGGCAGATCGGTCTCCGGTCACTGGACAGCTGCTCACGGCGGCTTTTGGCAGCTCACGCCGGCTGCCGGCCACTCACAGTAGCTTACCGGAGCCCACTGCAGCTCCATTGCAGCCTACGATGTCACCAGTGACTCACAGCAGCCCAGCTCCAGGTCAAGCTGTTGTTCACCACCATCTTAGCTGTAGAGGGTGCAATGTCACTGGTCCTAATGTGGAATCCCAACTGGGGCCCTGCTGCTCAGAGTTGGCATCCCAAGCCAACTCTTAACCAATGCACCATTTGGCCGGCCCTGGTAAACATTTCTTAAACAGGTTACAAAAAAGACTAATGGTAAAGGAAAATATGATAAATTGGGTTACATTAAAGTTAAGAACTTCCATTCATCAAAAGACGCCATTGAGAGAATAAAAACAAAAATATCACAGAGCAGGTGAAGATATTTGCAGCACATAGGACTCATATCCAATATATACAAAGAACTTCTACAAATCAATAAGAAGACGCAATACAAAAATAGGCAAAAGGGCCGGCCGAGTGGCTTAGTTGGTTGAGTTGGCTTAAGAGCGCGAGCTCTGAGCAATAGAGCCACCAGTTCAATTCCCACATGGGCCAGTGACGCTGAGTCCGAGCTGAGCTGTTGCTGAGCTGCCAACAGGTGGTCAGATGGCTCAGCTGGTATAACAACAAGATTGCCTGCTTGATGGTGGGCTATGCCCACCCGCAATTAAGACTGAACTTGGCACCTTGAGCTGAGCTGTCACCCGGATGACTCAGTGGATAGAGCATGTGCTCTTAACAATAAGGCTGCTGGTTCGACTCCCGCATGGGATGGTGGTTACACCCACCCGCAACTAATACTGAACACAGCACCTTGAGCTTAGAGGCTACGAGCTGCCGTTGGGAAGCCAGATGGCAACTGACGCCCTCCACAACGAAGATTGAAGAACAACAAGTTGGCTGGTCCCCTTCCCCAATTCCTCAATAAAATCTTTTAAAAAAAATAGACAAGAGATTTTATTAGGCACGTCACAAAAGAGAATGTCCAAATAGCCAGTAAATATGTTAAGTTGCCTAAACTCATTATCCAATAGGGGAATACAAAATAAAAGTGTGATATCACTACACACACACACACACACACACACACACACACACACAGAGTTAAAATTAAAAGCATGACAATATCAAGTGTTGATGAGTGTGTGGAACATCAGGAACTCTCAGGGACTGTTGGTGAGAAAGTCAGTATCAGTCAACAGTATCTACCAAAACTGAGATCTAAGAATTAAAAACTCATTCACACTTAGCTTCTGGGCCTTTTGGCTAAGATCAAGTGTAATATCTATTAGCTTAATAATATTCACAACAGCCAGGGATTTGATTTTTTTATGTATTTTAAACCACATTAAAGATTCTGTCACCTTAAAAAATCAAAACTACACTTATTCACACAGAATTCAAGCTCATGATTGCCTATAATATATACTTAAATCTAGACTCCTGACTGCAGTCTGACATTTTGCAAATAATCAGGGCTTGCCAGGGAATAGCTCTAGCTTAATACAATCTGTCATCCCTACCAGGATGGTGCAAAACCCTGCTGCTAGAGGTCACTGGGGTCATCTCCATGCCCACATGAGAGCATCATGAAGAAGAGTAGGTAATCTGAGTGTAGAGAGGCCAGATGGGCAAATCCCTTAATTCCCTTATCTCTGCTGTCTGCTCACTCTTGTCAGCATCTTACTTTCTATAAGACTCAAAAGTCTGTCTCCCGGCACACTGGGAGTGGCTCTCTATGCTACAGGATCACACAAGTCCCAGTGTGATCAGCACTTGATCGGCCCCATCAGCCTGTTCTTACAGGGGAACTTTGAGGGACAGGGGATTGTAGGGAACACGGGAAAGTTCACAAGTGTTGGCATTCTCAGATTTATCATTCACATCTTCAGCTATCAGTAGAATTTTGAGCTATGGGAAAGGACTATAGTTTTATTGAGACCCAAGTGTGAACTGCCTGTCCACTGAGCAGGAACAGGGCCACCTCCCTCTCCCTCACCTCTGACCCAGCATCTGCACCCTAACAGATATTCTCTACTCAGTTCTGCACTTGCTTCTGGAGTAATGTAAGAGTTTGAGGATTCTGGAACTACATCTCTTAAGAATAGCGAGGGCTACAGTGTAAGACATGATCTAAATAGATAGAACATATTCTAAAATGATGGTCACGTCCACTGAATACAAAATGAGAAGTACAGGCCATTAAGAGGAAGGGAAGTATTCTGGTCCTTACGGGGGTTGGGAAGCTTCAGGAAAGATGGGACTTGATCTGGACCTTGGAGGATGGGAACAGGCTGTGTGCAGGGAAAACGTCGGGTGGAGAGGATGACGCCAGGGAGGGAACAGCTTGAGCCAGGGAGCAGAGGCAGCGCAAAGTGAGGGGGAGACAAACTGCTTTACTCATGCAGTGTGTGCTGGGAGCAGTGTGCAGTCAGACTGAAGGGGTAGATTGGGGCAGAGCTGGGAGGGCCCTGAACTTTAGGCTGAGTGCTGACTCCATTCAGTAGACAGGGGAGAAAGCTCCGAAGGGACCTGAAGGGGTGGGGTGAGGGTGGAGGAGTGGGGATATTAGGAACGCCATCTGTGGTGCCTCAGCAAACAGCATAATCCAGGACCTCTCCAACACCAGTCCCTGGGCCTGTGCCCATTTGGCGGCATCTGAGCCTGGGGCGAGGGGTGGGGTGGGTGGGGATTACTGATTACCATCAGTCTACATGGAGCCCAGGCTATGACATTAGTATTATTTTTTTAAAGGTCTCCATTATACTTTCATCCTTGCCCATAGCTTCAATGATCTATGTGCCAATGACTCACACATTAAACTCTCCAGTTCTCTTCTGAGATCAAACTCATAAACACAACTGCCTACAAGGCCTCTCCTCCAAGATGTCTCAAGGGTGCCTCAAATTCAACATATCAAAGTGAGCTCCTGGTTTTCCCCTCCCCTGAACAGTTCCTCCACCCCCAGGATTTTGTACCTCAAGGAATGTCTAAGGTGCACAAGCTTGGGATTCATCCCAACGCTGTTCTTCCCTCACCGCCATCCATCTCAAATCCCTGCCAAGTTTTCTCTCTTAAATCTCTGGAGTCCAGC